AGTATATGATTTCTGGGAAATGAAACTCTAGTTCCACCATTTACTAGCCATGTGACTCCACATAAGCTAAATGTCTAAACGTCATTATGCTGATGTGTACAATAATATTAAACTGCAAGGTATCACCTATATAATGCTGCTGTGTTCACTAGCATTAGAATAGCCCTCCAAGGCATTTCCTCCTAGCAGGGTCTGAAAGGGATAGTGATTTGTTTTTGTATTGCTTGTGGACACATGGACACACAATAAAGGAATGATACCTTACCCATTTCTTCTCTAGACCTTACTTTCCTTATATATAAAGTGGGACATTAAGTTGTAATTTTGAAGCTTAAGCATGGAAAGGTATGTAATGCATCTGGTGCAATACTTGGAACATCATTAAGTGTATGATAAATGTTCTTTCTCTATCCCCCTTCCAAACTGAGATGCAACTTACCTTTTCTTTGTAATTGCAATAAAAATTATAAATCAGAGCATGTTATATAAAAGAAGATTTCTTATTCTTATCTCTGCTTTTTAAAGTCCTAACTACTCTTTAAGGCCAGTTAAAATGCCACCTACTCCATGAAGCCTCCCTGGATCCTCACTCCTGCAACGCTCATCCCCTACTCTGGCCAGAAGGGTGATAATGCAATCAAAGGAAAGTCTTCAACTCATCTCAGCTGATACTTGAATTTTCTATATTTCAATAAGTATAATTCTACAATATACAAAGATAAGCAGTATTCTAGGTTCTACTAAAACAGTTTTAGAGATGAAAAAATTCAGTATCTTCAAAAGAGGTGAATTTATTAAAGATTTAGACAACTTAAATATGTCCCCCTAAATTTTCTGCATTTGTTCTTAGGTATGTCTATGTTTGTCTTTAAATGTATTGCCCAGAAATAATAATATTTCTTAAAATACACAGTCCATGAATAATCTTTCTCTTTCTGTAACTTCTACCTGTGCTAACAGGTTTGGGGCAACTCACTGAGCTATTCCCTCCTAATTACACTTATATTCATTTACAGCCATGAAATCTTCCTTTAAAATATGCCTTGGTGCTAAATGACTGCTCCTCTGTCTTGCATTAATATGGCTGTTTTTTATGTCTATGATTTAGTCCCCAATATATTTCCATATTACATGCATCTGGGTATATTTGATCTGCTTATTAAATTGTTGTGAACCTGACTGGTCTTTCATGCCCCTAGATCCATTTTTTTTTCATTGGTTCTTCCAAGGCCACTTTATTCCTGTTATAAAATTTAGCTTATTCTACTTTGTGCTATAATTTGTATACTTGTCTTATGTCCTATCTGAGATGGATCCCCTAGAAGAAGAGTTTCTGTCTGGGAAGTTGGGCGGCAACGCTGTAGCCTCCCTGGCTTGGTGGCTTCCACTGGGCCATGAGCAGTTCTGCAGAGCATGGGGAAGCTTTGATTTGTTCTCAAACAACACACAGCAGCTAGGATACACTAAAAAGGATCTAATGGGACACCAACAGGTCCACTATAGTCATGCAGGATTCTGTGACTCTTGAGTATGAAAGCTACATATGTTCATCTCTGTAATCTGCATTTCCTGTCTCCATGTCCTGCACATTGAATGCACCAGTTTGTGGAACCAACTCATCAAAGATCTGGAGGAAATGCCCCCTAGTTTGCTCTCATTCCAATCCACTGCCATTTGTATTAACAGATACCTCTGAGGGACTTAGCCAAATCCCCCCTAGCAGCAGGGAACCAGAATATGTGGGTGATAGAAGAATATGGAAGTTCCAAGAATCTCATTGCCCTGTCAACTCAAAAGCTGTCTAAGGACAAAATGCTGAAATTCAGAATAGGCAAAAAAACTTCTTAATACCAAGGCAAACATCAAAGAGCAGAACTTCAGTCTACTTCACTTGGCTCTTAAGTTATTTTTGTTCTTTTTTTAATTTTTATAACAGTAATACATGCATATGGTTAAACATGAAAATGCTATAAAAGGGTAATAAATGAATAGTAAAGGCCTATTTCTTCATCATCGTGGCTTTTATTTCCATTCTTCAGAGCTAACTACCATTAACATTTTCTTATATTTTTATCCAGAAATAATTCTAGATATACAAGTACATGTATTTATTATTTTATACACAGAGATATTACAGTATATAATATGTATTGCTGTCTCCTTTTTCCCCCCACAAATAAGAGATCTTACAGATCTTTCCACATCAACACTTCTAACTATATCTCATTTTTTAAAAACGACGATACAGATGTCTTACACTTTATTTAACCTATTCTTTTTTTAGTGGACATTTAGGTCGTTTCTAGTTTTCGGTTCTTACAAGTGTATATTAATAAGAAATACTACTATAGCTTATATTTCCTGTGCTAATGACTTCATATTGATTTCCCCATTTGCTGTTACAAATCTTTGCCACTGCAAAATGTGTTTTTTTAATTGTAAAAAGATATAATTTTATTTCAAAGAAAATCTTACAAAATAATTTATAAATTACTTGAATTTATACCATGAAAGGGGCCACCATATTTCCTAAAAGTCAAAGAGGATCATCAATAAGAAGACAGAGACTGACAAGGAGACTAGATTATAAAGGTAGAGAAATTCACGTGCCCTCAAGCAAATATGATTAAAGCATCTGTGAAGAGAAAGGAGAAAACCAAACTGGCTTCATTGCTAGAAATAAAATGCCAATTAAATACTGAAAAAATAGAATTTTATCTGATCTCTTTATTGTCATTTCTTTGATTACTAATGAGATGGAAGAACCTTTTATTTATTGAGCATTCTATTTCCCTCTCCTGTGAATTTTTGTTCAGTTTGTCTATTTTTTTATTTTCCTATACATGATTATGTTTTATGGCTATCTCTTCTGAATCTATGGATTGGCTTTTTATTTTCTTATATTATTTTCCCTGACAGAAATTATTTTAATTTAGATTGATTACACAATCTTTTCCTTTGTCGTTTGTGCTATTTGTGCCTTTTTAAACATTTTGTGACGGGCACAATTATAGCTGTGACTCAAGTGTTTGTACCTTTTTTAAGAGGGCTCTTCTACCCTGAAATCACAAAGGCCTCTACATACAAAATGTGTTATTATATGTGTTAATATTTCTTTCTGTGTAAGTTCTCAGCACTATTAAATTGAAAGCTCTGTCCTTGCTTCCCAACAGAAATAGTGTCATGGGTAGTGAACATGGCTTCCAGATTCCTAACATCTATTTTGAATAATATGTCTTTTAGCCTAAGTTTTACTTTCTCACTCTCTGCCCATTTGTTTCCAGCATTTTTCCCAGAATGCAACTTATATTCAGGAAAGACAGAAGTTGTCACAGTTGAAAAAAAGCTAGAAGCAATTCTCAACTGCAGGACATCGTAATAGCAAGTTCTAAGATC